GGAAAGAGAAAGCAGCTCTCATTGCCCAAGGGCCCAAATCCTCTCTTTGAGCTCCGTCCTCTACCACTGGCCCGGGCCGGGCTCCCAGGATCGCAGCCAGGCCCGCCCTCCCTTCTCTAGTGCCTTATCCAAGGCTGCGCCTGGGCTCCCCGCAAGGAGACAGCCCTCCGCCCCCAGGGACCCCTTGGCCTCCTCAATGAAGCCCCCCAAGTGTCCTGACTGGAACACCAGGCCATACCCCCTACTCCAGTGCCACACAGCTGCCCCTCATGGCCACCCAGAGGCTCTGGCCTACAGGTCTGCGGCACTGAGGTCAGGAATCTGAAGAGCCCCTGAACTTGCTCTGGGCTCCGGCCCACCCTCAGCCCCTTGGGTTGAATCAAGACAATACTTGTAGCAAGATCCACTGCTCTTCTTGGGGGATGCTGTTAGCCATGGGAGGCTGCGAGGGGAAAGCTCCCCAACCTGGTTGGTCTGGCCTGAGGTGTTAGGGAACCAGGAATGTCGTCCCCTCTCTACGGCCTCATTTTCTCTGGACTCCCCCACCTGGTGGAGCTCATGTAGCCCCAGGCTGGCCCTGAGGAAGCAGGCACCCCTGACCAAGGCAGGAGCTGCCTCAGCCCTCCTGCCTGGCAGCCAGGCCACCGGGCCAGCCCGGCTCCCACAGGGAGCCAGAGTTCTCCTCGCCCAAGATGAGCAGAGGCTCAGCCACTGCCTCGCCCACCTTCAGGTCGGCCCTGGAGCTGGGGCAGGGGTGTTGGCAGTGGGCTCCAGGTGAGGCCCCTGGTCCCCACTAGCGGCAGGCCTGCTGTCTCTTCAGAGGAAAGGGAGGACAGGAGCCAGAGAAGGAGCTGGAGTCGGGAGCCCGCCATGCGCACCTCAACACGGAGGGACCGGCTCTCCTGGGCCTGGCGCCCTCCCCTCCCCCACCCTCCTGCCCTCCAGCCTTCCTGGAGGAGGGTCGCCGTCCCGGTACCATGGACTGGGACCTGCCAGCCAGAAGCAGGGGTCCTAGGGCTGAGGGTCCAGCCGGAGGGAACATCCTCTGCCCTCATTGCTTCAGGGAGTGGCAGGGGGCAGGCCGAGGAGGACTCGGGACCAGCGGGGATGGCAGCACTCCCACTGCCTCCCCCCGCAGAGCCTTGGGCAGCTGCCCTCTGAGAGGCCCCTTCCTCCTAGGCCTGAGGAGCCATAGGGGCGGCTTCTCTGTGGGCACACGGACGTGGGGTTTGGAGCTGGGAATCTATTTTTTGTAGTATCATGTTTTGTGCTACTGTAGTTTGGGTGTGGCACTATTGTAACTGAAATAAAGTACTTGTACCGAGGGCCATGTTGGTCCAAGTGTGTGTCCTTCTGGGGCGGTGTGTGTCCTGTGGAGCTGAGGGAGGGCGCCCGGCCAGCACAGAGCTGCTAGCACCCCCAGGGCCTACTGCACCTCCTCCCCAGAGCAGAGGCCCTGGACCCTGACAAATGCCAGAAGGTTACGCAGTGCCTATGCCCACCTGGCCACACTTCATCCATATGATCGTGTAAGGGCCCCCTGCTGGTGAGAATGATGCATGTCACTACATGGGCTCAAGGGACCTCCTGGTAAAAATAATTTTTCCATTATCTTGGAGCAAAGGATGTCAGCAGTGGGTTTCCAGGCCTCAGGTGCTTGGGCAGGGCCAGGGAGGAGAAGGAGAATTCAAAGAAGTTCAAGGAAGAGTCTCTGACATACACTCATGCCTCCTCCTGGGTTTTGCATGTATTCTTCCCTCTGCCTGGAATACTCATCGCTGACTTCTTTTGGCTGATAAACTCCTACCCATCCTTCAATGCCCAGCTCAGCATCACCTCTAGGAAGCCATTTCTGACCTCCAGTCCCAATCAGGTGGCTCATACAGGCTTCCCTCTCCTACCAGAGTGTCTTAGTGCCAGGGCTGCCATAGCGAACTGTGACAACGTGGTGGCTAATACAACAGAAATTTATTGTCTCACAGTTCTGGAGGCTAGAAGTCTGAGACTGAGGTGTCGGCAGCGTTGAGTCCTGCTGAGGAATGTGAGGGAGAATCTAGGCTAGAAGCCTGGTTTCTGGTGATTTGCTGGCAATCTTTAGTGCTGCCTACTTGTAGAAGCATCATTCCAGTCTGCCTTCATCTCACATGAAAATATGAGAGGCTGCTAAAAACAGTACCGCCTCAGGAAGCATGCGCGCGCACACACACACACACACACACACACACACACACACACACACACAGGCTGAAGGTGCAGAAGCGAGACATTTTTTCCTGCAGAGGCTCATCTTACTGACACTCTCCCTTTCCCAATGACCAAGTGAACAGGTCCTTTTCTCTTCCCCACTCTGAGCCTTGGGGCTGCTGCTTCTCCCTTCCCGAACTGCCTCCCTTTTTTGTTAGCAGCAGATCCTCCGCTTCCAAAGCATTGCGCCCCTCCCCAAGCAGAAATTAAAACCCCAGCTCGACCCTCTAGGAGTTTATCCTACAGTTAAGGAGATAGAAAAACATGCAAGATGCGATTGAGAACAACTAGAAAATGTATACAACCTATAATAACAATTGTGAAAGCAAAAGGATTCAGCAGAGACTCTCCATAAGGGTTGAGGAACTGCAGAGGGAGGGATGAGACAATATTCTAAACTTTAAAGAATCTACTACAATAATAAAACAATGAAAAATGGGTGAGACCTTTACAAAGAAAACTAAAACTTTCCAGAAGACCATAAAAGAAGACCTGAATAAATGCAGATGAATACCCTTATCATGAATGGAAAAGTTCAACATAATAAAAGATGTCGGTTCTCCCCCATGTTAATCTATAATTTCCATGTACTTTCAACCAAACTTCCAAGATAATTTTCATGGAATTTGATAAGTGGATTCACACGGAATAGAAAATGCACCATGGCCAAGACAATTTTGAAAAAGAATAATGAGGGAGCTGGTTCTCTCAAAATATGTTATAAAGCTTTAGTAAGTAGTATGATGTCGTGTTGGTGTAGGATTAGAGAAATGAAACAATATGAATAGGTTAGGGAGACAATTCTATGTATATGTGGGAACTAGTATAGGATAAAGGAAGCCCTTTAAATCAGTTGGGAAATGATGAACCATTTAATAAATCGTGTTAGGATATCCACTTGGGAAAAAATGAATCTAGATCTTGCCTCTCTCACACAGTTCTCACACACAGTGATCACAGCCATAAATTCTACACATATGGAGACCTAAACATGAAGTAACTATAAAAGTATTAGTTGAAATATTACAGAAGATGTTCATGACTTTGGGTAGGCAAAGTCATCTTTGAAAAGACACTATTCACAAATATGAAGGTAATTGTAGAATTTCTAAAAATATTTTTTAAAAAACTCTAAAGAAATGAAAATCTACCATAATCCTATCATCCAAAGACACACACACACTTGGACTTCCCTGGTGGCGCAGTTAAGAATCCACTTGCCAATGCAGAGGACACGGGCTCGAGCCCTGGTCCAGAAAGATCCCACATGCTGCAGAGCAACTAAGCCCGTGCGCCATAACTACTGAGCCCACGTGCCACAACTACTGAAGCCTGCATGCCTGGAGCCTGTGCTCCACAACAAGAGAGGCCACCGCAATGAGAGGCCTGAGCCCCGCAACGAAGAGTAGCCCCCGCTCACCTCAACTAGAGAAAGCCCGCAGGCAGCAACAAAGACCCAACGCAGCCAAAAATAAATAAATTAAAATTTTTAAAAAGCCCTTTAAAGACACATACACAAAGATACAAGCGAATAAAGAAAAAAAAACATAAAAGGAAAAGACTAATACATTTGGCAACATGAAGACAATTCATTTATAAACAAGATACAATAAATAAAATTAAAAGATTAGATAACACGGATCTACTATATAGCAC